TAGAAAATTAATTCAAAACCACTCATATGTTGGTAATTTTTAAGAATAGCTTAAAGAAAAACTACACCCTGCTGCTGGAGTTTTACATCCATCACTTTTCCTCTGGGAGAACATTAAATGGCAGATATGCAGGAAGGGGCCACGTGCAAAACAACACTACAATGTCTCTTTGCCATAGGAACGTGCCTCAAAATCCCATCTTTTACCTCCATTATTAAAATCACTTTCCTAGACCTCATATTTGAAGCTGTTAAAACATAAGCTAAATGCAAGCCAATGAAATATCAGAAATCCTGAGCCTGAAAAAGAAAGGGTGTAGAAAAATGGCAGCTACCTTAATCTTGATAGATCTTGATGATCCATCAAAACATTTGTATAGCGTTAATTCATTCTGCTTGGGAGTTACAGCCAACTCCAAAATTAGCTTTCCCAAATTTAAGGTAAAAAAAAATATAATCACAGTACTTAATGCAAAACAGGATTAAGAAAATATTGCAGTACATTATATGTATTTTATAGACACATACATGCCTGCCCCTGTACAAAATACCAGGTATTTTTCTGGCAAGCTATTCAAAGTTCAGTTAAATGTTATGTCATTGAAAACATCTATTTTTCATGTAATACAGGTCAAAGTGCTTAATAACTTTGCTCAATTGTTCAGGCATCATAGATGCAAAATGTCAAGTGCAGTGATAATTTGGAGACAAAGTCAACATAGGGACCCTGGTAAAATCAGTACCAGTAAAAAGAAGAATCACAGCCAAATGCAGAATTTCTACCCGAGAGCAGGCATATAGCAGTGAGCAAATGAGTGTCTGTCTGTGCGTGTGCGTAGTGCTTGGAGACAAGGGTGTCCTTTCCAGCCCCGTCTGCTACCTTTATCCAGAGAAAAGGTACTCAAGCTCTGGGGTCTGCACACCACCTACTACCATGGTATGCCACAACATGTCTTAGGGGTGTGCTGCAACCAGTCCCACTGCACCTCAGATGGCATGGACGTGAGCACTGGGTAGGCACCGGGGCTGAACCTCAGGGCAAATTGTCTCCACAGGCTCCTGCTGCCTTTGCAGGGAGGGTGGGATGAAGAGATGTGCCCCCACCCAAGAGCAGAGGCGGCACAGCAAGGTTAAGGAGCAGTTTTGGAAGGTGCAATACCAGAGAATCACAGAACAGTTGAGCTTGGAAGGGACCTCTGGAGGTCATCTGGTCCAACCCCCCTGCTCAAGCAGGGTCACCTAGAGCATGTTGTCCAGGACCATGTCCACATGGGAACGCAGAGGAAGCAAAGCGCAAAGCAACAGAGACCTACCTTAGCCGGTGTGTGCACAGGATCTGGCACAGAGCAGGACCTGATCACTGCCACCTTGTGAAGCCTGAAACAGTGAATGGCTCTGGGCTGGGACCCAGTCTGAATGGGAGCGGGAGCAACTGCACAGCTATTACCACGTCACGCTTCTCCAGCACTACTGTTTCTTCTACTTGTGCTGCAAATCTGCCTCCATTATGAATCTTACCCCTTCCAAAGTCAATAGCAAAAGCACCACTGGCTCCTATGAAACCTCAATCCAAGTCCACTTGCAAACGCATCCAGGCACACTGGAAAACCTACAGACTGGCAAATACTTAGCACAAACATAGTAAGCAGGGCCAACATCAAATATTTTAAGAAGAGCTAAGGAGAGTCAATTGTGTCCAAAAAGGCCGATGGGGTAGGCCAGCACAAACAGACCTAAGCAGCACTGATGGGATGAACCCTGCGTGGCATGATCAAAGGCACTTGCAATCCCAGAGGGGTCTCAACAAGAACAAAGTCAACACCAGAACCAAATGACTACTGTAACTTGTACATAATCCTCCCCATTCCTCTCAGACCACTGGGAAATTAAAATCGTGTCAAGATCTGTAAAAATATGTATCAGGAAATAATAAAGTATCAGTGTGTCCCTGCATCCTGCTACACCAAGGAACAACTTGTTTTCAGAAATTATAAGTTACAGTTGCACAAATGCGAAATATGCACTAAGGCAGTGACTGAAACTGGAAGTTTGAATTGATTAACCCCTTGACAAGATTGCATCCTGGCCTGTATCAGAAATATTGCGGCCAGCAGGAGTAGGGAAGTGATTGTGCCCCTGTACTCGGCACTGGTGAGGCCGCACAGGCTCGAATCCTGTGTTCAGTTTTGGGCCCCTCACTACAAGAAGGACGTTGAGGTGCTGGAGTGTGTCCAGAGAAGGGCAACGAAGCTGGTGAAGGGTGTGGAGAACAAGTCTTATGAGGAGCGGCTGAGGGAACTGGGGTTGTTTAGCCTGGAGAAAAGGAGGCTGAGGGGAGACCTCATCGCTCTCTACAACTCCCTGAAAGGAGGTTGTAGCAAGGTGGGTGTCGGTCTCTTCTCCCAAGTAACAAGCGATAGGACGAGAGGAAATGGCCTCAAGTTGCGCCAGGGGAGGTTTAGATTGGACGTGAGGAAAAATGTCTTTACTGAAAGAGTGGTGAAACATTGGACCAGGCTGCCCAGGGAAGTGGTTGAGTCACCATCCCTGGAGGTATTTAAAAGACGTGTAGATGAGGCGCTTAGGGACATGGTTTAGTGGACGTGGTGGTGTTGGGTTGATGGTTGGACTCGATGATTTTAGAGGTCTCTTCCAACCTTAATGATTCTAGGATTCTATAAATAAACATTAAACAAAGCTGTATGTGGTCTGAAAAGAAAACCCTGCAGAATTCAACAGTTGAACAATTCAGAAAATTAGCAAGAGAGCCAACCTCTCAGGCAAAGGATGAAAGGTGAACTTTCACAAGTATCTCCTCTCTTGGCTTTCCCAGTGTAAGCAACCTCCACCTTCACACGCTAGTGTGCTGCCCCACAGGGACACCTGTGCACCAAAATTATTATTTTTTTAAACCCAAATCAACATATTGCCAGAGCAAGACTGAAGAGACAATATGGAGGCAGAAATAGCAGATGATAGGGAGGAGAGGTCCTGCTTAAACTAACATTTCTGAAAAAAAAAAAAGTTACGAAGTTGTATCTTACGAGTCTAGGAAGCTAGCAAAGAAAAAGAGATGGTGCACCACAGTTTAGTGCTATGTAACTGCAGACATCAAACACTGATTTGTCTCTTCCTTGGGAAAATCGACTCAGGTTTGCCTTCAGCTTCGAGAAGTCAAGCCCAGAGCACATGCACCTTGGCACTTGCAGTGGCTCTGCATCAAGAAGCCAAGTACTTTTAATCTTCTTAGGTGTCCACATGTGTCTACAGTCACCTACATGTGACTGCTGCTACAAGTATGGTCCCCAGAGGTGAGATCTAGTCAGACATCTATGGTGCAGACAGCTAAGTCTAAGCAAATCGCCCAGACTTTATTTATAAGCAAAGAGAAAGAGGATATTTGGGGGCATGATTCATCTGACCTATTTTAGTTTACATTAGCATGAAATGTCTGTTCCTCTTTGTGGACAATAAAGCCTAGACACTTACACAGCAGGTTGTCAGCATGTGGTCAGATGATTCCCACCTTAGGTGCCTGAGGTTATGGGGGTGGAAGGAGAAAAAAAAAAAAACACACAAAAAACCCCCAACAAAACAAAAACCCCAATAATAAAAGCCTACCAACTTCTCTTTCAGTAGGTTTTCTTGCTATTTGAAATGCATTTTCCTCAAAATGCATCTTTGGTATGTAAGTCCCTTAGTATGACTAATAATGCCACCCAGTGCAGAGAACCAAGGTTGAAGGGGAAGTAGAAGAAACAATTTTTGCTGCATTTAATTCTATTTTTAAAATAAAGGCCAACGACAGATTACAAGGTGCCTGAAATTTGGCATTAGAGCTCCTGATCTGACAAGTGAGTTTAGCATGGTACAGCAATTTAAATGCATCTAAAACAGCTGGTGGGATTCTCAGACACAAAAGGAGATAATTGTTAACCTTATTCACAGCAATTAAATCTGTATAGGCTAAAATAGGATCTATTGTTCCCCCAAAATACTGGGATTGGAGCCAGAAGTAACTTCAGTGGAGCAGAAAGTTGGCAGTTTGGAAAGGGGCTGAAAATTGTGTAATTCTCTGGCATAACAGGGAAAAAACCCAACCCACAACCAGAGAGCAAAGACAACTTCAGAGATTTTTTTTTTACAGAAGAGGAATTTATCCTCTTCCGAAAATACCAGGGAGACGTCAGAAATTAGTACTGAAACAGATGTCAACATGGACTTATCTCAGTGTGTATTCTGCACAAACGGAAGTGTATCCAGTAATTTCTTCTGCTGACTGAAAAGAAGAAAGCTAGAGATTATTATTGCTATATTTAGTCATTTGCATACTACCCCAATATGTTCCTGTGGAGTCATCTGAGCACATGATACTTAGGCACAAGAAAGCTGGATAACTGTTAGTAAGAGGCCAACATTGCCACTAGAGAAACAATCATTAATCTGCGCTCAATTCAAAATGATCAACAAGTGGCAGCAAAGGATTTGCAAATGATTTGCCAAGGACAAAATATCTCCAGACAGCTGTTAGACTGGGAAAAGCCACAAAGAGGTGGGGCCAGGATCTTCAAAGCAGTGCACAGGCTGTCCCGTGTTCATCAACATGTTCCAAGGAGACCAATGTTCATGCTAGCTGGGGTAGGGGCAGTAAAGGCAGCACAGGAGAAATCTGTTTTGAAGGAGGGAAGAAAAAAAAATATACCTCTAACCCATCTGAGAACATGCCTTTCTCCTGAATGAAAACCTGCAAAACCCAGACCGAGGGTGGGCCAGAATGTGGGGCTGTGACCAAAAGTCTTCTGCTTGGTAAGTCTGCATGCAGCTTCCATCTGCTCCTTTACAGAAAGTATATTAAAAAAAAAAATATTTAAAAAGTTAAGTCTGGACTTTAAAGAACAAAAATCTGCTTAGGACTCTGACAGAATGGCCTGACAGAAGAAATGCAAACTTCCCCTAACTGTAGGCTGGAAGGTGTACCAAAGCTCCCTCTCCAACTTTTACATCCATCCTTATGACGAGACCATGCTGCAAAAGGCTCCAAGGGCAGCTTGTCAACACATTTGGTCCTGTCCTCTGCCTCTGCCTTCTCCTGCACCAGGTCCCTCTCGCTGACATTTTGCTCATTCACCTACCAGACACACACACACACACAAGTATCATTTATTTTTTGTCAGATCCATTTCCTGATGGTTTCCCAAGTTCAGTCAGCTCAGCAGAAGGCTGGAGACCTTGAGCCCAGTGAAGGGGAAACACCACGACTGCCCCGGCCAGGCGGCAGCAAACCCTGCACCTGCTCCACTGTGCAAGCCTGCTCCTGGGTTACACCTGTATTACTACATACAACTGGCCCTTCTCCAGCCCAGGGGCCAAGGGGCATGGGCTACTCCCTTCATCCTCTCCCAGAACTGAGTGTCTGCATCCAAGCCGCCCAGCACTGCCCAGGCTGCTCCTGTGTACCATCTGGAAAACTGCCAGATTGCACAGGCCACAGCTGTACTGGGGACATGCACAAAACCAACATGCACAGAAACAACATGCACAAATGCAGGACAAGCACTGAAGCCAACATTTACTTCAGTAGTATTTCCTAGCATGAACGCTGTCCTGGCAGCTAGAACAAGACCTGCAGTGAAGGGCAGTTTATCCCAACCTGCAGACTTGGGAATTCCTGCACAGTCCTGTAAAGGTCTCCAGTGCCAGACACTGTCAGATGGAATGCTCGACTATGCCTTTCTAGTTGAGAAGTTCTCAGGAACCTCACAGAAACAAAAATAAATTCATTTTTCCTACACGCCTTCTCTTGAAAAGAAAAACAAAACTGACTCTTATTTCACCATATGATCTACCTGAAATATAATCCTGCAATAAAAGATGAGTACAGATAGCTGCTGTTATGCACCACAAACACCGTAATTAAAAATCATTCATCTTCAAAAGATCTTTCTCCAAAGCTTCAAACATGTTGTATTATTCATTGAAAAGGCTTCTACTGCACTCAGGGAAAAATAAAGTTAACCATTCTTCTGCAGCAAGAGTATTTACTAATACAGAGACTGTTTTGTAGTGCAGAAAAGGTCACGGTGGTTTTTGAACTAGCTAACCAGGATATGTTGGTAACTATGAGTCCCAGCGACTTGAGAAGGACAGTGAATCGGCAAGTCCCAACTCCGTGTGGAGACAACAGCATAGCATCAGCACCGCCATGTTACGGCAATGGCAGGGTGAGAGCCGTTCCTTTCTGAGCACCACCCTTTTGGATCGCAAAGACACTGGCCAACCTGGAGCAGGCATTCTCCTGGCTGCTGCTCGGCTCTGCGCGTTCATGCTCCCAGTGCTGTACCGGAGCTCCCTCCTCAGGGACATGCAGCGCTAAGGTGTCCACGTGATTAGCGATCTAGCCTAAAGGATTCTCCAGGCCTATCAGCTAAACCAAACCTGATAAAGCCTAATCCTGCCTCACATTCTCCAGTCCCCTGGCAAGTTCTTCAGGGTTCAAGTGGAGTCCTCCTGAGCTCTCTTCACCACTACATACACCTGCAATGTTATGCCGAGTCTTTTTTTTTTTTTCTTTTTTCTTTAAACTTACTCTGTCTCAGGTTCCTCTGCTCCTGCCAGGCCCTTTAATACTGTGGTAAGGCCACATCCCTTCCCCCATCCTGGGGAGGATAGCATCAAGCTTTCTGACCCAATTCTTCAACCTCCTCTAGTTGGTTCTCATCCTACCACCAAAAAACTTGTTTCTCTTTTCTCGTTACTAGGAACTTTCTATTCCTGCATCACCCTCCTTGAAAGGAAGCTGAAGGAAGTATTTCCTACTTTCAGCCAACACTGTCCAAAGATATTGCCACTAAAAGAAAGAAAAATAAGAACTCCCAGTCATGTAGCTTAATAACCAGCAGTAAACAGAAACTCCATAGCAAACCAATATACACATTACTCTTCAACTGATTCTCAAAATTATCCTCAAGCTCCATACGATTGTCTCCTAATATAAGACAATACAGCAGCTTAAAATACCTTACTACTTGCCTCCAAATTTCTTAATGCATTGTACAAGATAGTAGAATGATATAACATCCAATGGGTTTTACATATACAGCAAACAAAACTTGGAAGCACCTACAGAGTAAGAGAACAAAAAGAAAGAAAAGAATATTTTAAGCACAAGGGACAACTGCTTAATATAAAGTGTTCTCTTTAAATAATACTGCATCTATATATAACCAATGAGTTGTATTGTGTTTTATATACAAACACACACAAATAAAAATATCTTCAAAAAAACTAGTGAAGCAGCCAGAACCTTCCATCTTTGCATTGGATTTCTCACTTCTACATGGCAAGATCATGACATTAATATAATTTTCCTTCCCTTTACCCATTAATCAGCTTAGAATACCCACCTTTTCCCATCAGAGTGTGTGTGTCAGGGGTTAGGGAAATATTTCAACTGAGAAAAAGGAGATCCTTTACGCCACAGACTCAAATAGCCACAAAATATGATCATACCACCTACTGTATGAGTTTAAATGGGGTTTTCAGGACCAGTTAAATCACCATACTTCCCTTACCTCTGTCTTCTTTGGAGATATACACGCGCACACCCCCATGTACATTTTGAACAGGGATAAACTTATCTGGTTAGAACAGATTTTATTTACCACACAAAGATTAAGAAATCCAATCTCTTCAGTTCTCAGAGTGTTGAAATAAAATGCCCCACAGAATACAAGAGTAATCAGCACCGGCACAGCAATTAGAAAAGAAAGATTTAAAACACAGAGTCCTCCTCCTCTACCAGGAGGAAGGGAAGGAAAAAAAAAAAAAATTCCTATTCCTCTGAAATACTGATTACATCAGTAAGTACAAAATTCACTCATAAGAAGAAAAGATTTTGAGTAATGCATTTCTGAACAGAAGAAATACGTCCTTCCGTGGCTGATGAATGGAGGGTGGTTGCAGCAGGGGCAAAGGAGTCTCCTGCCGCATTACCTGCCCTTACATACCTCTCTCCTGTAATGCATAAGTTAAAAATTGTGTGGCTCCATGGTGTCAAACAAGGGAAAGAAGTGCACCCGAGAGAAGGTGGGTTAACTGACTTTCTCCAGAGCAGCACTACGCACTCAGGGGTGAGCAGGCTGCCCATTTGGGTCTGCGGACAAACAAGCCAGCAGCAGACAATGGCAATGACTATGTCTTTCTGCTCCGCTACCCACTGGGGGATAGTGGTGCCAAAGGGAGAGAAAGGATGCCGACGTTCAATCTGACAGCCCCACGGTCCTTATAATCTGCTTCCATATATAAACTGGAACACACACACAAAAAAATAAAATCAATTTCTGGAGCATCTTCAGAACAGCTCTGCTGTCCCTGATGTCTCAGGACTCTGAGGTAGAAGAGGAGCAATTATGCACTTCACTAATAGTAGAACATTTTACAAAGGAACATTACCTTCCCGCTGTAGTCCCGAGACCAGACACTTGAAGTAAAGGCCAAAAGAATTGCTCGCTTCCTGCTCCATGGTCTTCTAGTGTACATGATGGTTGCTCCAATCTCAGTTAATCACATTTTATCACTTGAGCTCAGATAAATACGGCTCCCACATATGTGACTCCTTCCCTTCTTGTGCAAGTTACTTTCGCTGGCACTTCTTGCCTTTTATGAAGAAAAGAGGCTTTTCCAGGAGGTTGGATGCTGAAGGGAAATTGCCTGTCTTTTTTGTTTTTGCAAGCAGTATTTCTGCTTAAGAAGGCATGGTTTTTCAATTACAGCAAAAAAATGAAGTACTAAAATTGTTTAATCCTCTTATTTCAACATGCATGAAACTTTGCACAGTCTTCTGGATTTACTGTACTTTTTAGACCATAACTACCCATTGACTATAAATTTAATTTCTGCCATAAAGACATCAATGGGAGGCCAGAGGATTACGCAACAAGTACCCCATCTTTCCCATTTATATACACATGCAAAAACTTCACTGCGCTTTTTTCTTACCTCTATGACAACAGTTTTATTTCCCCCTACCTATCTCCTGCCTACCAGCACAAACTAAACTACATGGAAGTAAAAAAAAAAATCTAAATGCCTAATTAAAACTGTCAAACATTCTAGTTGGTAGTTGGCATCATTGTATATCCTATTTTTTTTTGTATTTCCTTCATCAGATAACAAACCTTTGGTATAATGTGCTGTGAAGCGTAGCAACTAATATCCTCTTAGGATCAGGTGTATTTTGAATGTGACTCAAACATTTAGTAGACATTTTCTCTAGAGATGAAACTTAGTGTCCAATTAACATTTTGAATAGCCTCAATAACAACTGCAAAGAACACTACAATGATAATTGTATCCATTAGACTTCTGTGCTTCAAGCATCTTTATCTGCGTATGACTCCACAGTGGCCTTCAACCGGGCTTTAAATATCACGATAAAAAAAATTAAACAAGAACACTGTTACAGTTAATTCTCAGTAGTACACAGACTTCCAAAAATATCTTTGATTAAGGTAAGACTGATGATTTTTACTCTATATTAAAACAGAAATCCACTGCTTGGACATGGGAACAATACTCCCCAAACTATTTAATCATCTCAGGCTTCATCCTTTACAAACTGTCTTGAAAACATGAAGAGGGTTATCTTCTGTAACAGAGGCAGTATCACTTTACTAACAGCACAAGAAAGCAAGGAGACAAGGATCACGCTCAGCTTATTTGCTTGCAGAATATTTCCTGCATCATCACCTCTCTGCAGGCATTTATGAGACTCAATGGATTATAATACAGTCAAATTAATATTCAGCCTGTGGGGCATAACATATCTAGGTACACACCACAAGCTGAACACTCCTCAACCCAATCTGTTTTGGGTCTCCAAAAATCATTAAGACTCTACTAAGCTTATCTACCTGAAGAATTGCTCTTTGAAAAATAAGGAGACCACCTTTGCTTTCAGTATATTTTGTGATGCCTGTTTAATCAAAGAAAGGACTATTTCTGTCACCATGTGAGGAACGAGACTATCCATCTTGTCTACTCAAGTGAAGGGGTGAGCACGCTTTCAAGCATTATCACTTCGGTCAGAAGTTAATGGAAACAAGCAACAGCTCAGAGATACGTACAGAGCTTGAGTCATCTCTGTGTTACGCTTATTCCTCACCTTTCAGGCAGTCTGATATTCACAGCTCTTCCTATCTTTAAAAGCAAGTAAAAAACTGCACAGAAGCCTGAAACAGCCTAATAGGACAAAAAGCTTTTCTTTCCAGCCCTGGCAGATTACAAGAATAATGAAGTTTCCAAGTCTCTGGTAGCTAAATAAAAAATAATAATAAAAACCCACCAACTGGCATGGGCAATTATATAAATGAACAAATGCACAAAAAACTATATAAACAAAACCAGAAATTAAATGTTTCCCTTCTCCTATATCAGCTTATTGCATCTACCTCCCAGTGATGCAGGCCTATAGTCTACAATACATTTCACAGCGCTTTGACTGATGCAGGTTGCAGTGACACAGGCAGGACTGATGCTCATTAGAATGTGCCAATTTTTTTCTGTTTTCAGAATATATTCCGACTAGCTCTCACATATAAAATCAGACCACAGCTTCATTTATATTTACGGCTGAGAGAAGGTGGTGAACACCAGAGGACACAGCTTGCAAGCACAGCCAACATCAAAAACTATCCGTCGCGGTGAGATTTCTGCAGGAGCTCACGTCACAGCTCAGGGCCAGACCCCGTCAGCTTTGCTCGTGCACCACAGATGAGCTTTACTGATGGCACACAGTACAGGGGTTTCCACTGGTAAGCAATGGTTCAGTGGTAACATGCATGGTAACAAAAACTTCCCAGTCAGCTAAAATGCAGCAGAACATACACAAGACCATTTCGCTACAGTAAAATCAGCCTGTAAAGAGAGCTTTCTGACATAAAGCTAGCACAGTAAGGAGGACAAACAGCGTGAGGAACACTAGCTTGGGGAAAGTGACAGATGAATGGATCTGATAATGCAGTAGAGTGGAAGAAGGGAAAGTTTAAAAGAATTTTTCCAGGTTTTACAGGTCTCCTGAAGTGGAAAGTAAGTTTTAGACTGGTGCCACCTATCAGCAACCCCAACAATTAAGTAGCACAGTCTTTCAAAGTATTTAGTCACAGTTTTTGATTTAGAGTACATCTCTGAACAAGTATCTCAGGAACTAGTACAGACTGCAATTTTGCATTTAACAATGTGTATCTTTTTGTTACTTTTGAAATACATAGTATTAATCAGTAAATAATCCCTTTCTCATATCTCTCAGGTCAGACAGAACTGTAAAAACGCACATTTTTTTCAGACTAACAAACAGCCTTCTTCACCTACACGAAGGTCATCCAGCTTAGGTGAAGGGTCAGAAAAATATTTCCCTGTTCTAAATCCTCCCACCCCACCTCTCCTCCCCTCCCCTCCCACCCCATATAAAGCTAGCAACGGTGCTTTACACTATATGCGAGTTTCCCTCATTTGTGGTGAGACCTCCAGATAGGCAGGTTAGCCAAATAAACTCACGTATCTCTCGAGGCTGAAGTTCTCCACTGGCTGCTCCTGTTCCCTGGGGGTTTGTTGGCAAAAGGAGCTTGAGGGTAACTGGGGTTTTGTTTCTCGGCGGCTTAGGTGCCCGGCAGCTGCAGCTTTTGGTGTCACATTTTGTTGTTGTCCCCAAGCCAAGCAAGGACACACGGGGGCCAGTGACATGGTGCTGATGCTCAGCCCATGGCAGCTTCCCAAATACCAAACATGGGGTTTGCTGCTTTCAAGACCGGGGAAACCAGTTCCACAGGTCAGCATTAAAGGACGATTCTGTGGATGAAGCTGCTGAGGACTGTGGGGTATACCTTCAACAGCCTCAAAAGCAGCGATGAAAAAACCAAGAAGAGGGGGACATGGGATACTTGTACTTTAAATTTAGACCTTTTTCCTACACAGTACCCAAGAACAGTCCTGTGTATTTCTTTGTATACAGCTGCTTAGCCATTTACAGAAAGTTTCCTTTCTCCCAACTATCACTAAGAATAATTAAAAGTACAGCATTAAATATAAATGGCAGGTTCAAATCATCCCATTTTGTAGGGACAGGTCATCACTTCAAAAAGGACCACCTCTAGGCAAAGGACTGACAGAATAAACCCCCGACTTCCAAAGGGTCCCTACTACTCACATTGGACTTATTTCTGCAAGAAACTGGAAGACCAACTTAGAGTAAACCTGGAAAAGCAAGTGCTTTTCCTGGGTGCAGTTCCACATCCCCAAGACATGCACTGAGTTAATTGCTTCCCCCCATCCTTCCAAACAGAGAGTTCATACTCTGCTCCCTGGGAAGGACACATGGTTGGTTTACATAGCGCTACTCCTCACCCCCCTCACCTCTGGCCTTCAGCTGTAGTAGTTAAGCCAAGGGAAGAAAGGATTACAGCAAACTTTTTCAATACCCAGCTCTATCTGCATACCCAGGACAAATTCCAAGGCAGCAGAAACCAATATTAGCACTATTTTGCAAAAAGGAAAAGCTGGCTCCCACTCAGCATCTCATTTATTAGGAGATCACAGATGTTCTTAACATACATTAGCAGAGCAGGATAAAAATCAGCAAAACACATATGTATTTGCAACCAGCACTGCACTGAAAAAGGCAACACAATTTTTTATGTCCTATCAGTCAAGCTCACAGAGGTTCGCCAATCACAACCTGCAATCACACTGAACATATTGATTGCCTTAGGCAACTGCCTTTTTTGCCTCAGCAGAAGAGATAACCCAGGTATTGAATCAGATAAACTATAAATTTTGATCAATAAAAGCCCATATGTCAGGCTTTTATCCTCCCATCAAATCAAGAAATACCTATGCTGAACCAAAGGCTCGGGGTTCAGCTCAAGCAACAATCCCTCGCAGAGCCGGTCTTGTGAACCCGACTGATCAGCCGAGCAAACAGGCAGCTGAGCCTTGACCGCCCTCCAGGTGTCTTTAACATCTTCTCAGCCGGGGTTTACTGCTCCCGCCGACTCTCCACAACCCACCTCCAGCCCTCTGCCTGCCCGCTCACAGCCAAAGCAATGTCCTCTAGTGACCAATACCAAATGGCCAGCCAACATGGCCGAGCCGCAGACACCACACTATCCTGATGACTGTTACAAAAGAGTTAATCTGATGGACAGCACAGGCAGGCAGCTCAAAGCAGGCTATCTTAAAACTACATTAGTGAGATACACCAGTTTTTCTGGGGGAGATGCTTGAAAGCTTTTGCCTCACTCACCAAAGCACAAAGCAGCACAATACAAGCACAATGCTAGGTCGGGTTCAGAGACCTGTTCCCGTTCCTAGCTCCCTCATATATTGGCTGTGAGGTTTTGAGAAAGTTGCTTCCAGTCAGGACAAATTTCCAATTTATAATCTTGGCAAAAACTGTATCAGTAGGCCCTAGATAAGCCAGCCATGAGAAAAGTCTCACTCCCAGTGAGGACTCTTAAGACCTTTAAGTAAAAGCGTCCGCAGAT